AAAATTAAAAACAAAAAAATAAAGCATGTCCCTTTTACATGAAATGAAAATTGCCTTCAGAAATCTTGAATATATGATCTGAAGCTCGCACGGTGACCAAATATAATGAATTCTTCTTGGACTACCAGCCATGTCAGGTGTGTACTGAAGCGTTGAGTACACACACAGAGGATGAGGGTGAATATGGTTCTCAAAATGTTGATGTTTTCACCTTTCAGCCACCTGACACAGCTGGTAGCCCAAGAAGAATTCATTATATCTTGAATGGAACTACTCATGTTTTCTACAACTAGATTAATATACAATTTTCAATTGGTGCATGTGCATGTGTGCATGAGTGCGTGCATGCGTGCGTATGTGCGCGTGAGAGAGAGAGGTGTAAGGTGTAAGGCCACTTGCCATTACCTGTGACATAAGGGCAATGAATTAAGGAATTTTTATAAAAATATTTCATACAATGAAGCATGGGTAAGTGTTTTCATACTTGAGCACAGCATTCAACAATACACCAAAGATACAAATCAAACAACTGTTTATAAAATAAAAATAAACATTATGCATATGCAGGCCTACAATAAAGAAAATTAATCTGTACTCAGCAAATTCCAATAAAATTGCTAACTCAAGAGACACTTACAACCACAACTACAAATGAATTATTATTATTATATATGTGTTCAACACGTTTCTGCCAATTTATATATAACTATATATTATAACCTGAAGGTTTAACAACACAAAATAAAAAACCCACTACTACACATATCAAAGAGTTCAGAAACAACATAAGTCAGTATCATAGACTTTTCAGGAGATAAAACCTTTTGAGCGATTTGTTGTTGCAATCTGAACTTCCTACTGCTGTTTTGAAGCATTTAGCAATGAATATCTTAACAAGTACCAAATACAACGATATACAAAATGAGAACAAAATTTTGGAACACAAAATGTTTGCGGCAGGAAAAATGTTTGGTAAGACACTCTGAAACAGGCAACAAATACTAAAAAAAAACCTAATTTGTCTTGTTACACTGATGTCACCAAAGCTTACATATACTATTGTATTTAGCATTAAATTTTAACTGGAACACTGTGTAAATAGTAAATATGATACACATAACATCAAGAACTGAGCAGGTGGTGATACAATAAAAACCCTAAGGCCGGCCATTCACGATCGCTCCATTCGTCCAAATGGCGCGGTGTCGCTCCAAAATTGTACCGTGAATGCGGAAACTGAAGTCCATTGGCGTGGCGCCCTGCAAGTCTCGGGGATAATTACTCCTAAACGTTGTGGAGAAGTAGCTGTCACATACTTCAGTTCTTCATAGTTCATGCCTGAAGCCAAAAATCTCAAAGTCGCTGACAATCTTTCATGAGGACTGATGCATTGTCTCATATTCGTGTCCTGTTTTTGTATCACAGGCGTGACTAGCCCCAATAAGCGGAAATAAGCACACTCATCCATTCGTAAATAGTTTCTCCAGTCTGACGGCTCCAAACTCAGTTCACTAATTAAATTGACGTGACTTAAATTGCTTCTGTTTAAGAGCCATTGCTTTGACCACTTTCGTTTTGGTTTCCTCCTTTTAATATACAGGCATACTGCCGTAGCTAGTAACAATTCTTCGTCCATCGCAAACACCACGCACTTCACAGAGTGACAACAAACCGCGACTGGCGTGACGCGACCGTGAATGTAGTACCTCTTTGGACGACATCCGTTTGGACGTCATCCATTCGGATGTCATCCATCTGGAGCGATCGGGAATGGCGGCCTTAAAATCGTATCTTTAACTCGGACATTACTGTCCTATGCAATGCCCAGAACACATCATACAAACCACAAAATATATCTCACCATTCACTACCTGCCTATATAAGACCTTCAGAACTGTCCCCACCTCAAATCCACCTTGAAAATGGCAACTACAATGTATGCCGAAACAGTGGTTAACACACATTCCATGCACCTCTCACCCGAAGCCAAACTTATAAATAAAAAACTGGTTGGTTTATTTAGCGTAAAATTATTAAACTGACTTCACTACAGGGAAATTTACTAGAGGTTAGGTAAACACACACATTGCTGCACAGATTTAAAATTGTACCTACCCTTTGTGCCAACATTTTTCACAACCTGGGATTATGTTACATCCTAAAATTAACCTGATTCATCTGCTGTGTGATTTTTTCCTTAGTAAAAAGAAATGTTTTCAGACGAAGACCAAGAAGTCAGCCCTTCGTTAACATAGTATGAAATATCGACCGCATTCCAGACACGCCAGACTTAGGAAATGAGATTTGAACAAATATATACAAGCATATTACAAAACAATATTGGCACTATATGATTTGAAGTTTTCATGGCAAATAAACTCAATAAAATCTTCTCGGGCAATCAGCCACATCAACCATTTACAAAAAAAAAAGAGACCAGTGTTTCGGGGGGAACTGTCTCCATCCCCATCAACAGGGTTCTGATGTGACATTAATTAACGTAGGTAATTGCCAGGGGGTCCGCAGTGGCCGTGCGGTCTGTGGTGTGGGCCTTGTGCCGCTTGGTCGCTGGGACCGTGGGTTCGCATCCCACTCAAGCCATGGATGTTTGTCCGCGTTTTTCTGTGTTGTGCTGTCCTGTAAATAGGTAGAGGCCTTGCGATGGGCCGATCCCTCGTCCAAGGAGTCCTACCAAATGTCTATAGATCAAGCCAATGAAAAGTTGGGACCCGCAGTGCTCAGGCACTTGAAGAACGGGTCGTTCCCAGTATCCCAGGTAATTTGCCAGAGAAGATTTTACTGAATGCTGGCGATGCAAACCAACCTAACTGTATCCACATTTTGAGACATGTCTGGTGCTGGAGCTGTTAATATCAGAATAAGTTTCATCCTTTCCTTAGTAATGCTTTTGGAATCTCAATTCTAAATCTCAAAGTTTCCTACTTTATAAGCAATGTATGAAACCAGAGTTCACACTACATACTTGAATTTCCTAAACATACACGATTCTGGCACCAGTTTGCAATATATACCAAATAAAAGGTTTAAAGAGAGTTGGAAAGATGTGAAAGATGACAAAATAACTCAACTTCAGGAGGCTGTTCATCAGAGAACACCTCAACTTTGGCCTGATGCTTGGATCATGCATCACGGCATTGTAACTGCTCATAATGTGCTCACTGTCTAGGAATTTTGGGAAAAAGAAATCAATACTGAAATTGGACCATCCACCATATTTGCCAGATTTGGGCCCTGTGCAACTTTTGGCTATTGCCAAAACTGAAAATCACTTTGAAGAACCACAGATTTTCAGACACTGCCGACATTCAGGGACATAAAAAACCTGAAGAGCATTCCATAAAAGTAGTTGAAAGCGATGTTTTAAGCAGTGGAAACACGAACTCACTACATGTCCAAGGAGACTATTTCAAAAGTGACTGCAAGCATTAGTCAGATTTCATGGGGGCATACCAGGAACGTAACTGTCACAACTCATACCTTCATCATATAAAGTACATTAAATATTCAGAACATGGTAGAAAACTGTGGGGACAGAGCCACATGAAACCAATAAGGAAGAAATGTGGGACTTTAATTCTGTAAATAAATAACTTGTGCACAATGGGCCACGTAATATACTGTGAAGGTAGGAGCTTCATTTGGTAAACCTGAGATCCTTTCCTAGCCTTACAAAAGCCCAAAAACTGGTGACACTATCAAAACAGTGTATTTTTCATCAGGGTTTCACCTCCCCAGAGGCAAATAAGGGAGTGGTGGCAGCACTATCTGTGGGTAGCAGAGAGATGGTGTTCGTATCTCCCCTGCCAGCCAGTAGGCCATGCACTACAAACTGGAGGAAATGGTAAGATATGGATAAAAATCGGCCACAGCCTGGGGGGAAAGGCCAGAGGATAGAAACAGGAGTGAATGACACAAAAGCTAAAGGTTAAATCATTCTGTTGTTACTTTAAACTTCAGAGTCTTTGCTAACCATACGCTGGTAAACAAACACAACTGAAGTTTAAATAACGTCTCTAAAGGTACCATTTGGCTGCACGCGACAGAGACAAGCGACCGAGGCAGGCGACAGAGACGGGAGACGGACGCATCGCAACTTGTCGCCACACACTTTTGAGGTGACGACCGAGACATGCAGCAAAGTGTTTGTTTTCTTTGTTTTGTTGAGATATACGTGCACATATTCTGTGAAAAATGAGTACAAAAATGCTTCTAAAAAGGTTACTC